AAAAAAGGTTTGTTAGCTTTTAACGACTGACAGCCCTCTCCTGCAAATACCGCGTTTGCTCGGGCCTGTTTACACGCTTCTCCAGAGAGGGAAAAAAAAAAAAATTAAAAAAAGCAAGCGGCGGCGTTTATTTGAGCTATTCAGATTCAGTTATGTTTGGTAAAAAGGTTTTCTTCATGGGTGCAAACTTCAGAGGGAGCCGTGCGAGTGCCTGGAGAGTGGCGGCGTCTCCGGAGCGTCAGCCCCGGCACGGAGACGTTCGTCGCGCTGCAGCTTGTCCCCCCGATTTCGTTAGGATTTAATGGCATGTTTAGGGTTTCTAACAGTAAATTTATATTTCGGGCAGTTCCGGGTGACCAAGGACGTGGGTAGCGCAAGGAGCGACCCTTCCTGCGAGAGTCTGCGGCTCGGAGAGCGTAGGGGCACAGGGAAAACTGGAGATCAAGAGTTGCAACGTGAATAAAAACGTTAAAGAGAAAAGAAAAAAATCTCTTCTGCTGTAAATGGGATCCGGCTCGTCGCTGCGCTGGCAGCGCTCAGCGAGTTGCAGGCATGGGGATGTTTGAGCGGGGGGGGCTGCGTCCGGGTACCCGTGGGGAAAAGGGTGGGGAGGTTTAAAGGAGAGCGCATCCGTGTGCCCGGGCCAGTGTAGTTGTGTATACCTTAATGTTTGCTGCATGTGGTTGGTTTAACGGCAGTTTGGGCTCACTCAGTCCCCCGGGTGTGACACAGGAGAAAAGGCCCAGCTCCCTGCGCCCAGGCCCGGCCGGGTGTGAGGCGGGGGGGGACCCGGGGAGCCGCCCCAAGGTGCTGCAGCACCACTTCCTCGGAGCTTTCGGCTGGGGCTTGAAGAAAGGAGGCAGAATTAGCCAAACAAGTTAATGAAGGTTGCTTGTAATGGTTTTTACTTTGGGGAAAATTAACCAGTTGCTAATAATTATATGGTCTCTAGGCCAGACGGTCCCTTTGATAAGTTAACTTGTACTCCCTTTATGCTCCTGGTAGGGGGTAAACAAATGCCTGAACAAATACAAATACACATAAACACAAATGTGGAGAATAGCGGTATATGTCTTAGATCCAGATAATAAGTGTGGGTATTGTTATTTAGATGGCGCATACTGGGACACTTATCTTTTAGTACACTCCATTTTCTAACTGAATGCAGTGCTAATCGTGGGATTGAAAGCTATTGTAATTGTGTACCCATCTAAATGCTGACAAGAATATACAATTACATTGTTTGGAATTGAGTTTAATGTTCTCTGAATTTTATTAGCATTTATATTTACTTATGCATTAAAATTCGACACAAAAAGAGGTCAGAATATAAGAGTTAGACATAAATATCAGACCCATCCACAACCTCACTGCATTTTTCCTGAAAATACTGAACAAATTATTTTATTTTAATTTATTTTTAAAAGAAGTGATAGAATCTGAAATGAGCAAATAATGGGTTTCCATTCTAAGCAATGCCTTTTCTCCCTCTGGATTTTGCAATCTCTTAAAGCTTTTTTCATACCCAAACTTTTTATTATTATTTATAATGTGCATGTTACTGGAAAATCTTTCTACAGTATGCTTACCACTACACGATGTTTAAACACACATTATAAAGTGGATGTAATTGTAAACACTCAGAGGGATATAATTACATGTAGCAGATTTAGGAGCTAATGCTTTGCTTCTCTCTCTCTCTCTCTCTCTTAACTCTGCATTTTATCAACATTATTATTTTTTGACTGCAGACTATGACCCAGAAATTGACAGGCATCCATTATAGGCAGAGACTTGTTCACCAAATTGAAAAACAATGAACTGCAGGTTTATATGTGCCCGTTGTCATACAGAATAATTGGGCCTTTGTTCCACAAGAGGTAAAAACTAATGGTTTTAAAACAGCAGGTGACAAAGCACATTATTTTTTTTTTTTCCCCTCTTATCAGTTTGTTGATGAAGTCATTACGAACTGGGGCCCAGAATAGGGTTAGCCTTATTTTTAGCAGATAGACTTTTAATGAGTTCTGTTGTGGAGACAGTCATGTTGAGTTGCTTACATTTTTTTTCCCCCCCTTCACTCAGAAACTCCCAGTATTGAAAAGCTACTATCAAAGGACTGGAAAGACAAGCTTCTTGCCATGGGATCAGGGAACTTTGGAGAAATAAAAGGTAATGCTATTTCTGTGCTAAAGTGAATTGGGAATGAAAATACAGATTTCACTGGCTTTATGGAACTTTCTGTGTTTGCTGCTCATCCCCTCCCCTTGAAACATTGTAATTTGAGGCTTAAATGAAATGTATGCTCTCTCCATCTGTGATAATATAAATAAATGAAATGGTATATTGCCCTAAGTGAATCAACTTACATGGAGCTTTTGTTGCGTATATGGTTCTGTGTTATAAGAGGACACATCCTGTTGCTGGATTGGAAAAAATAGCCAAATTGCAGATCAAACACAGGCTTTTGTGGTATCAGAGTATAGCAGAGCTCAGCTTCTGAAATCTGAGGATAATCGAAAGCCCTTGTTAATTTCTGGACAGATTTTGATGATGTAGATTTATTATTTTTTTTTTTTAGTTGCATGTAGGGGAAAAAAAAACCAGCAAAGTTTGTGTAATGATACCTCTAGGTACTAAAATTAGCCAGTGCAGATTTTAAAAGACTGTGTACAACATCTGTGCACTAAAACATGTTCTTTTAAAGCCATACTCCAGAAGGAAAATGACAAAATTTGACCACTCTCCAGCAGCAGTAGCTTCTGCTTTGCCAAGATATTTCCCCATTTTATATATGTGAGGTCATTTTAGGGAACCTGTAGTTGTTTGTTTTCATGTAATTTAATATTTTTATAATTCTTCCTCAGTGCTTGTGATTGACTCAGAATACACGTGTGTCAAAAATGTTAGTTTTTAGAGCAGCCATTATCACCCTGAAAAGAAACAGTGACTCCGATTCTTCTCCTATTTATATCGGTGTACATCTGGAGTAGCAAAATCCAGGCCAGTGTTGTTTTGGAAATGTGAAACTAGAATGAGATTAAAATTAAACCCTTATTTGATGTTTAGAAAACTAGATTTCATTTCTCTCCATTATTTTTAGTTTGTTTGCTTACTAATGTTTTCCCCAATACTGAAGATACTCATTCAGGCAGGCTCCCAAACCTCGTGCCTGACAGGTTTAAGGACCTTCTGCGCAAGAGGTGGGCATTATTCAGTAAAGAACACAACAGGACATGCGATTAATGTATGCAAAGGTAGTGTTATTTTAATTATATGTGCCTTCCAGCTTGTCACTGATAGACGCCAGCATTAGTTTGCACTAGTCCACTGACTTACACAAGTAGGAAAGTATGCCACTTGCTTCCCCTTGCGTCTCCCTAAGAGGCTGTAATTCAAAAATATATATTCATTGCGTATGTAGAATAACTTTAAAACAGAATATAGTGCTTCAGCCCCCAGAGGGGGCTTATTATAACAGAGGGCCAAATTCTGGCTTCTTTATTCCCATTGAGCACGTTTGCTCCATGTGCATAAAGCAACAGGTCGTAAAGAGGTAGGGTAGCCACTGGGCTTACCGGCGAGTTCTGGTTTTTAAAAGCATATTGTTTTAAAATAACATCTTTGTCTGCCACGAACTGATGAATCTTTAAGATGTTTCAGGCCCAAAGTACACAGGCGACTTTCATATCCACTTTTGGGTGTGTATTTCAGCAGTTCTTGCCTGTGGTCTGGAGCCTCTTTAACTCTTGGCATGCTGGAGCCTTCAGGAATCCCAGCAATCCTGCTCTGCCTTTGGAATCAGTAGTGCTGCTTTGAAAAGTGGAGTGCACAGAGAAGGTGGTCTGTTCCCAGTCCCTATGATCTTGTTCAGTTGGAGGGCAATCTTTTTTCTCCTTTCCTGCTTTTCCCTTTCACAAGTGCAACTTGAAAGCAGCAGCAGCAGCAGCTATATGCTAGCACGAAAGAAATTCAACAGTCCTTTCACTCTCGCCCAGAGGGAGGATGGGGAGCAACAGCACAGCCTCAAAGAAGAGTTTGCTTTGCTTTAATTTTTGTTTTTTAGCTTCATATTTTGAACACAAGACGAGTTATTGTTCTGCAGCTCTGTTCAAAAGCCTCACATCTGAGGCTTTTTAGTGCAACTATGACTGTATGGTCGGGGGCATGGTTATTAAGTGTTTGGATCAGGTTTGGCAGTAAGCTGTGAAAACAGGCACTGGTTTATTTTTCCTACTGACTGCCGTGACAGTTGCAATTATTGTCCATTGTTCCTAGGTGGCTGGAAAGGAGGGAGGATACAATAGAGCGTTGCCCTCTGGGGGTAAATGAATTTGACTTACAGGTTCTTGGGGGGTCAGGCAGGCCGATTATTTAGTGCCCAGGAATGTGGTTTTCATGGCACCGCCAGCCATGAGCGGCCGACAAACAATGGCTCAGCTGTATTGCAGCTGTATTTAGTGAGGCAACATGAAAGGTGTGCAGGTTGAGCTGGGTTACATTCACATATGTGTGTGCAAACACACATATATTATGCTAAGAAATGTTTTTGTCCTTCTGTAGGAACGGAGAGTTATTAAGTTTTCCAGTTGTGATTTTTTAATTAACTTCTCTCTGTATTTGGCTTGGCAGCTGCCTTTTTTTCCTCCTCATTTCTCTATTAGGGGTATTTGGAAACCCTGCACAAGTAGTGTCTTATTAATACAGCCTGGAATGCAGACAGCACTAAAAGCTGTACTGCCCAAGTGTCTTATGCACTGAATAGTTTTTTCCATTTAACTGTTCAAAATTTCATTGTGTTTTTCATTAGATCTGGGGGAGTTTTAGTATGTCATGTGCTAAAGTCTCAGCACTAGACTACATATTGTTAATGCCCAAGTCTGTGTTATTACCACTGAGTTTTATTCTCTGGGAGAGATTAAAAGAAAGGGAGATGAAGCGGAAGGCTTTATTTTATATTAGTGTTATTTCTTTTAAGTTAGAAAGCAGTAATATTTTATTAAAGATAAGGGAGTTGGCAAATGGCTGGAAGTCACCACACTCGTATGTTTTGTGTTCAGTTTTTCTCTCACTTGCTTTGTTACTTGCAGCAGCTACCTTTAGCCGTCCTTTCTTTGTCTGCAGGCCTGTGACATGGGAGAACCATCACTGAACATCTGCAGAGGTCTAGCTGCAGACTTCAGGATTACAGAAGGATCAGTTTATGTCCAGTTACTAATGGGAAAGGAAATGCAATATTTAATTTCAAGGCTTGATTGAAAGGGAACAATCTTAAAATGCGGCAAAATCTAGAACCTTCCGTACCTGTAGAAATTTTACTTCAAATGCCTCTGTTTGTTTAGAGAGGTAGTCTGACACTAAGTAACACAAGCTTGGCACTGGAGATTTCTTAAGAAATTTTGTTTTGAAATCCATGGAATTTTTACGCTGTTCAAAATTGGTCAGTCTGTAGTAAAACCCCCAAAACATGCCGTTAAATTGAAATATTTTAAATTAAAGCTGTAAAACTGTATATTGATTTGGTTAAAGCCTGTTCAAACTTACTTATATCCATCATATTCAAGAACAGGGCTCAAAAGGCCTGTGGATTATTCATGGATAATGCAGTTTATTGGATTCAGTGGAGCAGAGAGAACTTCAGGTCTCAAACTGATCATCTACAGGAAGGAAAATTATACCCCCTTTCTGCTTTCAGCATAGCTGCCTGATACCTGTGCATTGCAGGGTAAAAAGGGGATGTTTTCTACCAAAGCAGCATTACTGACTGCAGCAGATGCAGCACATAGGATAGACCCTTGATAGGAAAAGGTGTAAGAAGTTTGTTTCTATGCTCTTCAGTGTCAGTGGCCATCCCCATACTTGGAAAACAAACATGAAAATTCTGTTTGGCTGCTGTTGAGCCTCCTCTGAGCAGACTTCGGGAATGGTGCTGGCCCCCCCATGGGCAGATGCATCGTGAGGGGCACTCTTGCCTGTGCTGATGTGAGTGGGGTAGCTTTAACCACGATGAGAACTCTTTTCAAAACTTCCCCAGTGTACACAAAGCCTTTCTGCTAATCTTGTCCATCCCTTGCTTATCGAGAGTTGTCAAGAAATAATTATACATATTTTATAAGTTCTCCACTTAGCTAATTTTGAATAGGTGTGTGGAACAAAAGGCCTAAACTGACACTTGTTTCTAATCTTTCTGAGTTTGTTTTCTGTTGAAGCGAAGACATTGTGAACAGTGGTTGTGCCTGAATCTCTCAAAAAGACTGGGCAAGCCTGAACCTGATATTTTTTTGTTGTTTGAAAATCCTTCTCTATTGTACAGGTTAGTTCCTAAAGAACTCATGTGAGGTGCTTTCTGCACTCACCATGGGAAGAGATCATCATTAAGGTAAAATCAGCTCTTCGTTGTAGCCGCTTAAATCTGGGTGACACCAAAGACTGTACTAGAGTAACCACAGATTTGTGAGTGTAATTGAAAGCAAGATTAGCCCACCAATCCTAATCTTTAATGCATAATAACACAGACATTTGTTTTGTGTGAGAAACTGAGTTCCGAGTTATGTGAAGTATCGGTGTAGGTATTAGATCGAGCTGTGTTTGATGTGTGATAGAGCTGTGTTTGCTGAAGACTCTAATCTTGCTTATATGTTCAGAAGATGGGGCATGAGAGAGTATGCAGTGAACAGTCTTAACGACTGCCAATAATGGATAAAGAGAAATAATCCATTCAGCGATACTATAGCTCGTCAGAGCCCATGAATTAAAGACATATGTTATGTAGATTCAATGTATGGATTAAAACGGATAATCTGTTAGGTGACACACAGAATCTTGAGATAAGTGGGCTATGCAGATTCGGTATATGGATTGTGACGGATAATTCTATTTAAGTAATGCTGGACAAGTTGAAGACAAGTAAGCTTCGGGTGGTGCTCAGGTTATGTGCGGTAATCCAGTGAGTGACACTTTGGATCGCATAATCTGTAAACTGAAGACAAGGAAGCTGGGGATTCTGCATTTAGATGTGGACAGGAGGAAGGAGGGGGAAGGGGAGAGAGAGCTTATTCATGGGGAATACACTGGGTTTAAACCTCTAACTAATAAAGCACAGATCCTCAGGAGATGTGTGAAAGCTGCACACTTTCTTAGGAGCTGTTTGAATTTTGCATTTGCAAATTAAT